TTTGGAGGTCCCGTACAGAGAGACAATCCTGGCGCTAGTCTCCAGATGCTTACTCAGAGACGTGCTTTCCGATGAAAGCGTTGAGGTAGTCCATCTTTCCCAGAGGGACGCCCTCCTTGCGCAGGATGTCGTAAGCGGTGACGAGGTGGAAGAACATGTTAGGGATGGCATAGCCGGTGACATAGGCATGGCCGGGCAGCTCAACATTCTTGCCAGGTCCCAGGCCGATGGGGACGAGTTCGCCAACTCGCTTGTTGACGACTTCTTTGTCAATCTTGGTTAAAAGCTCCTGGACCTGGTCAATTCGTTTGTAAAAGTCGTCAAAGGTCTTGAGGTCATTCTCAAGCTTCTGCGGCTCGGCACCAGTGGTGCGAGCCGCCGTCTTTTGAGCAATATCCGAGACAACATGAACCTGGAAGCTCAGGGGCAGCATGTCCTCGTGGATGCGGGCATCAGGGAGGCTGGCAGCGTTAGGAGCAGTCTCGGCCTTTTTGAGGATTGCCTTCAGGGAGATAAGAATATCCTGGGCAGTGGTGATGGAGCCGTCGTAAAGAGTGTATGACATGGTGACTGAGAGTCTGTGTTTAATTGTGGTGGTTGTTATTTATTTGGGTCTCGGAAGCAGCTGATTAAATTGCGTTTGATTGCGTGATAATGGCAAGCTCTCCCTGAAGGATGTGGCAAGGAGACGTCTTATATATTTGTGTCCCAAGTCCCCTAGTTCCTTCCCTCTGTCAGGCAATAGTTATACCTTCCTTTTGCTCGGGATAAACTTTACAAGGACAATCTGTTTGACCGACCCTCATTCCCCCACTTCGTCCCAACACCATGCTACTCCATGCGGGACGCTCCTCGCCACCATCTATTCAGCCTGCAAAACAGAAGAAGCGCCGTACGTCGATATTTTTCTTTTACTAATGCCCTGACATAACGGGTTGCCCGTCAGCCCAGAAGTGGATTTGCTGCAGGTGAGCTGACTAATTGGAAGCTCGTGGAAAGTTGACCATCAATCACCCCGGCCGTGACGTGCGGACTGGAGACATTGGAGCCGCAACGAGCAAGCCATGCAGGCATCAATTGGATCACAAGCTGGTGAGACATGGCCTTACCACCTCCCGCATCAACAGGCATAACGATGATTACAAAACACAAAAAAGGGAACAGAAAAGGAGGTTCTGCTAAGCAGTAGAGGTCCGTCAGTGGGCCCGAGGTTTTCGACCAAGTCGCTGGATTCTATTGGCGCAAAAGCCCATGAGTTTCAGCCATGTTCTTCTCCATCTGGTGGAAAGCTTCAGCCAGTTTTACTGCATCAGCATTGATACCGTTTTCACGACCATGGAAGCTCGGACACTTGATCTGAACACCATTTCGGGCCAAAATGGATGCCGCTGTCTATTGTGTGAGTTCGGGGGTGGACCAGTTGATTACACAATTCCGTTGTCCTGATATAACTCTGTTTCTCACCATATGATGTCACGTCTTCCCCTTACAGTCGCGATACATGTGGTGTTTCCAGAATCACTGCCAAACAGGCATCGACCCGATCCGGTGGTATATCTGCAGAGGGCCACGGGACTGGCTGACAAACCGGAATGTTCAGTGTTCAATGTTGGTCGGCCGGCACACCCCAAACTTGTTACTGACTGTCCTTTGACCCGTGTAGGCTTCAAGCTCGCATTCGGATACTCTATGAGCAAGCTCGAAACTGGGCGCCACGGCACAAATCAACGACGGTGAATGATTTGAAGAAAACTTGCGTATCTCATGAACATGACTTTCACTTTTCTGTGATTGAAACGGGCTTTCTGTTCCAAACCTCCCTTCGGTCGCTAGCTCGTTGGCCACTTGATCGCCGGTACCCTCTCCTGAGCCATGCAACGTGGCCTACAACCTGCAGGGTTTCTGTCAGCGTCATGCCATCGGGCTTTGTGTTGAAGTGCACGGCCATCGTTATCGTCGCCGGAACTACACGTCCTACTATTTGTGTGGAAATATAAAATATTCAGGCAGACTGGCTGTGGCAGTCACGTTTCTGAATATTTCCAATCATCCGTTGCGACTATCAGATTTCGTCATGGTGGGAACGGGTCGGACATATTGTGTCGATACATGATGTTATCTTGTGCACAGGGCTCCTTACTAATAGCAATCTATCATTCGACCGCACCAGTTGTCAGCAAGGAGGCAACAGCCACCACCCTCAGAGTGTCAGCTTGACTGATGATTGCAAAACTAGGCCATGCCTCCGCGCAAAGTTCTTGAGTCATTCACACGAAGGTCGAGAAATACGGACAATGAATTTCATCAAAATGTATTCCTGGTCATGGCGCTTATCAAGAGATCCGGAAGATGGCTTCCAAGTGTCTCCCAGTTAATATTGTCTGAACTAAATATGGCAAAGACGTAGTCCCAATACTCCGGATACCACCCAGCAAAGACCACCTGGAATCATCGATTCTGTACAAGGGAATGCGATGGGGCTGCTCAAGGTTTGTTGTGTCGTTTGGAATGAGACTTGCGAGGCACATGGTAGTTATTTTACGGTAAGCCACTTCAGCTCGGGAAGTGGACACTGCTATTTATCTTATACATTAAGTACCAAATTGGTGACGATGAACTTTTTCAGATATCAACTCTCTCTTGGTGTCAATGCCGGGTCAGAATCCCAAGGCGATATTTGCCCTTTCCACAACCTCTCTCTCGCCAGGCGAAGCACCGTCCCGCACTTCAATCTTGTCAAGGCCAAATGCTTGGCGTCCCAGGCCATTTGTCCATCTACGCAATATATCTTCGGTCGGTCGGCCGACGTGCCGAGACTCGCCCTCGCCGCCAGGAAAGTCCGGCCCTGGTGTTCCGTCACGAAAGGCCTGCCGCTGGCGGGCAATATACGCGGCGTTGATGTCCGTCACAGGGCATACGGGAATATACATGACACTGGAATCTTCGCGGCCGCCGTGGACCTTGTCGACGGAATGGATAGCTGTTGAGCGGGTGGGGGTACGACATTAGCCAAGGGGAAGCAAGCAGGCAGGGAGAAGTTGGGTGTAAGTGGACTTACTGTCACAATGCCATGCAACGAAATCGCCAGGCTTGATTTTTGGCACATGGACCATGGTTCGCTCGAGCTCAAGATGCGGGTGCAGCTCGTCGGTGAGTTCTTGTCCATGGCCAGGTGAGGCACCTTGCAGTTCGCTGTTCATATCAGACTCACCAATCAACTTCCAGTTGCTCTCGTCGAGGAATCCCGTCGACGTCTTGGATTCGTCCAACGGGGCAAAGAATGGGCGAAGCAGCACGTAAGCCGTTGCCATGTGCATAAGAGGGTTGACCAACAGAGTTCCCTCGCGAGGCCCAGATTCGCTCATGCTCATCCAGCCTTGCCACATTCTGAACATGGTGCAGGCGCCCAGGCCGTCGTACAAGTTGTTCCTTGCTTGAACACGACCACTGGCGTCCCACGGGTCGTAGTTTTCCCAGTCTCCTTGCAAGATTCTATCATACACGCCGCCAAGCCCGTATCCGTTCTTCTCCCACCTCTCCACGCTGCCGCCGTCAATGTGCGGGCCCAGCGCAAATGTAGCATCGCCCGGCTGTCGGATGCGCAACCGATCGGCGTAGGAAAGCGGATTCTGCAGAGATATCTGCGCTTGGTCCGACGAGGTATGCCAGAGTAAAGACATGAGACGGTGTTGTACACGCAATAGAGACGGATGTGAGCGGGCCTTGAGCTGCGGCGCAGACCAGTACAACTCGTATACTTGCGGGTTGTCCGCCGGAAACGCTTCCGAGCCTCAGTTAGCATATAAGGCAGACCTACTTCTAGCAGTCAGAACAAGCCTCTGTGTAGATGCTCACCTCGAGTCCACGGATTCTTCTTTACATAGTCCTCAATTTCCTCCTTGTAAGCCCTGGCCTCGCCCTCGGGGATCACCCCCCTAACGACGATGGCACCACGTTTCCTAATCTCCTCCTTCAACCCTTCACACCCAGCATCCAAGTCAGCAAAGTCCACCTGAGGAATAACGTCTGATCCCTTTTGGGCAATCATCTCATTCTCCACCCTCAACCGCCGGAGCAGTCTCGTCCAGCTATCAGCAATCTGCCTCTCCCTACCCCTGACCAAGTCGCACTTTAGTTTTCGAAAGCGGTCAGGCAGAGGCGGCCGCTTGGCGCCAGACAAGGAGACAAACGCATCTGAAATGTCCCCTTCCTTCTTGACGGCTTTTTGCGCCGTCGCCGTAGAGGCAGCTCTCGTGAGTGCCGGGGAACGCTGGGCGATCTGGGCTACAGAGGGTGGTAACATCGTGGTAATGCACACAATTTCAATTCAAAATAACTGCATATAGATGAAGAGGAACAGACGACTCCAGAAAAAAAAAACGTGAACAACCACTCCAATAAATAGCAAATATTCAGCCCCTTACACTTTCGTCACAGGCTCTACCATAAGCCGTGTAAGTGGTGCGGTGTTTCCCTTTCGGGAAGTCCGCACCCCGCGTGGCACGAGCTAGACTTGCCAGACAGACATCATGCTCGGCCTGAAGACATGGTAAATCCTTCCGACAATTCGAAACTGCACCAACTAGAAGGCTCCATTTCATATCCAATATCAATATTCTGGCAAATCCAGGCATCGTGTCCGCCCTGGTCGGCCAAGAATACACATAGTAGTTCGTACACGGGGACCCCGCAAGTCTCCAACTCACCTCCAAACACACCACCAACATCGTCGACACCCAAAACTCAAAAGAGCCCAGACAAACGAAATAAAAAAAAAATCAAAAAAAAAAAAAAAAAAAAAATTTCCCACCCCGTAAAAAT